AGCGAAAGAGTATTAGTCTTTCGCATATGTCGAAATTTTGCATGATCAACGGTGTCTACTGTAGACTGTGCTGAAGCCAGTCTTGGTGTTACGATCGTTTATACTGGAGGCAATGCAGTTGCAACACTTTGAAATCCATAAAGTTTCGGAGGAGTGTGGGAGATGTGGGGGGGGTTAAAAAAGAAGGACAAAACGTAGAGGGCCGTTGTGCCTCAGTGTTCGCTCTCGAGCCACGCGAGTAGCCGCTCCGCTCGAAACCAGCAAGGCAACAAGCTCGAGGCGCAGTGGTTAGAGCTTTGAACGTCTAACTAACAAGCCCTCGGGTTCGAGCCTCGGAGGGCACCAACCCTAGTGAATGGTTGGCTGATGATGGCTAATAAGTCAGAAATGGCCATTCCAGTGTCCCTGGTCATTGTCGCTAAGGTATTACTGCCTATAGAGGAATTCGGGAGGGAGAGGTTTACAATAGAGAGACATCATGAAGTGGGCCGATATCACGGATTGCCCAATGTTTCAAACTTTTGTGCTTGGGCTATCGTGAGATTATGTCACCTAGTTCGTGGTGATTTGGGCGCGGAGGGCAGGTTGACTTTCGGTTTTGTATGTAAGAGGACATGAGCTAATCTGCGGCGTGTCTGGTTTCCACATTTCTTAGTGATTTTTAATCCCGTTCCCAGTTGTGGAGCACTAATTTGGTCAGACCGTCCTATGTCTGTCTATCTGTCTGTCTGTCCGAAAATCGTCGTTAAGATATTACGCTATCAGATACTGGCAGTAATGCTGAAAGCCCGTGTTAATTCCAGCCTCTCTGGTTGGGACTGCAAAGCCCAACATGCTAAATCCCAGAGAAGTTAGGGATGGGTTTAAAGTAGTGGATAGGAATATGGGTAGGGTAAAGAGTAGGTCTATAATTGGGGCAAAAGTAGTTTAAGTAGTGCACCTCATATACCCCTGGCCCCAGCATTTTGTCTTACGGAAACGGTGGTTATAGGGTTTTTGAGGGTAAGTAAATAGGATAGGCAGAGTAGGAAATTTGTAGAAGTAAGTGTAGAGGAAGAAAATATAGTTAAATTTGTTTCCCGCGGCCGCTGGGAGTAAGTTGCTCCACATGTTACTTGAAGGTGTGCACGGCGCTTTGCGCCGCGAACCATAATAATCTAACTCCAAAACGGTGATTTGGACCTCAGGTAAGTTGAAGTAGACGACCTCCTAACCCCCATTTCTTTTTTTTTCAGGAATTTCAAGGAATCTGCAATTTGATGCGTGTGTTTCTCCGCAATATGTTAAACGATAATACAGATTAGGAAAATCTACAGATGCGCATCAACAACATCTAGAAATACAATAAAATAAAAATGCATATAGGAAATCGTAAAGTATATTTCGCTGTCCATTCTTATTTCTCACCCATATAACCGCCGTTTTCATCGGACAAAATGCTGGAACTAGGCGTTGTTTAAGTATATTTATGTAAGTTTAACTAACTAACTAACTAACTAAACTAAGTTAAAACTAAAAGTAAACTCTTAAACTAAATAATAAACTAAGAATTAAACTGAACTAAACTTAAACCAATAAAACTAAAAGTAATCACAGGACTAGGGGTATCTAAGGTACACGACCAACTTAAATTTTACCCTTGTTTCTACCCTGTTTGTCTACTAAGTCTTTCTTCCCCCCTCATCCTCCATTTTCTTTCACCCTTCCTCCTCGTCCTCGCTCTCCTCGCTTTTCACGCTTAACGATGATTATTTCGAATTCCTCCGGTTCTACGCTTTATTCCTGACTTTCAAAACCACTGTTTTTTTCGTTTAGTTTCCTCCAAACCGATGGCGCTTATTTTCTTCCATTTTCTTCTACTTATCATGCTGTAAAGGCAGGGCCGGAAGGGACAGGTTTCCCTGTCAACTCTGGTCGTTCACCTTTATTTGCATCCGTGTCGTTTAAACCGCCATAGCTCCTCCCATCCCACCGTTTACCCTTCTGACGGATGTGATATAGACAAGACATTGATGGTTGGACAGTTCGGGTAGAATGGAAGGGGGAGAGCGCGGGGATTTCGGCCTCAAAGCACAAACGCACCTCTTGCTGGTAAATTCCTGCCGGAAAATTCAGGGGCACACAGTCATGCCCGATTCGAAATAATGATGCAGATTTTTTCTGGCGCGATGTCATCCGTCCTCTCATACTGCCTCACATTTAAACATTGTGCTTGAGTAGTCGGCCCCATGCCCTGACGCACCCGCACCCGCACATACACACAAACACAAACACGAAAACGACCACTAACACATCATCCTGCACCCATCCCCCCTATACCCTTTACTCCATAATTGATAATGACAGGCGCAAGGTCGTGTGTCTGGCTCCTATGTAAAACAGACATTGGACTGTGGAGGGACTGTGCGCTGGGCAACGTGTCAAGCCTCCCCACTCTGACCTCCCCTTCCTCTCCCATCCCCTGTTTCTTCGTCTGCTCCAGCGCCAAGCTCTCACGTCTCTCCCTCACCCCACTGTTCCTGTTTCCCTGTCTTTTCTGATTTACGAATGACAGGTTTTTCTCTGCCCCTCAGGCCGGTGACCGCTCGATGCCGCATCAGCCGACAATCGTCGGTTTTCCACGTCGCTGCTCTTCCGACCTAACGGGCGATGACATCCAGCGACGGAAGGGTGAAAAGGTAGGCGGTACTCCTGTCCCTGTTTTCCCCTTACTATTTCGTGCTCTCTGCGCCTTTTCTCCCTGTTCGGGTTAATTTTTCATCTTTTCACGGCATCTCTGTCTCTCTGTCTCTCTCTCTGTCTATGTCCAATTTGGACAAACATGTCTGTCCGTTGTCGGACGCGAGTGTAACTAAACGACGCGCTGGGAACGTCCTCTGAGTTTGATCCTCTTCAGGCATTTCTGACCTCTGCGGACGGTTTTTAAGGAAAAAATATGGAAATATGAGGTTCTGCACCACTTAGAGCTGTTGCCTTTTATTCCTGTTGGGTCGAATTACCGATGTTTTTGTTCCCTTCCATAAGTTAATTTTGCTTGTGTGGAAAATCCTGACTCCCTCGTTTATTCTAACAACGACCCAGGTCTATTAAAGCATAGGAGAAAGCACCTTCCTCTTGCTGGAGAGGTTTTCCAGGACTGGGTAATCGTTGCGAGCTTTGAGTGTACTATATCGACCAGTCTTTCGTGTCAATTATAGTTGACCACATCTGCAACGGCGTCATTTATGTTGCAGCAGAACCCTTGCTCAGATTCCAGGAGTGAGTTTTTCAGAAATTTCCAATCGAATTACGGGTTTATATCTTGTCAA